TCTCTTCAGCTGTTTTGCCAGGCATTTTACTTTCACCCACTAAAAAAGTTTCCTTGGAAGACTGAGAGCTGAAATAAAATGCACTGGGAAGTACAGAGGCAAATCAGGTAGAGAAGAGAACAAAACTGATGAGCCCTGCAAATGATCTCTCCAGGCTTTGGGGGTGGCCAGCGTGGGAGCAGACTCGTCTCCACGCGCCTCCTGGAGCCACCTGCTCCGATGTCTCTCTGGGTCCCCGGTGGTGCCCTGGTCTCCTGTATCTGTCAGTTCCAGACACTGAATTTCTCTGCATACCAGGAAGTCCCTCTCTCTAACCTGTTCCCTCCTTAGAAGATAAGCCATTTCCTTGGTCCTGCGTTCAAATTCCAAAGAAAAACCTATCAGGTTGTAATACCAGAAGGCTTGCAAGAGAGGAGAGACTCCAGTTTTAAAGGGAAAGTCCAGAAAAAAATGGATTGACTCTTTTAGTGGGGTATTCAGGTGAGATACATTCCATCACAGGCAAGGAGTTCAGGTGCACTCAGCTGAACAATGTGGAAAGGTTTTACAATTGTAACTATCGTTTACACAACGTCTCTTGGAGCCCCTATCCTGAAGGATAAGGTCGGGTTCTGGGTTTTAATACTACAAGGAAAACCAAACCGTCAGAAGTGGTGTGTTGGGTGCTTGGACCTACTACTGTCCATTCTGACTTGGTTACAGACTGCAGTAAATACGGAACACGTGAAAGTACTTAATCATTTCAAAATCTCAACAGATGCCTGACCCACACACCAGGACTTTTATGTTCCCAGGATATCTCAAATGCGCAGACACTCAGCGCTCCTTGTTCCAGAGGCCTCATTGTATTTGGAGCTCCGGCAAGGTGTCCCCTTGCCTATGAAGAGTGGGGTGGAGGCGGGCGGGGTGCAGGCAGGAGGAAAGAGGAGCGTTTGCAGCACCGCGAAAGGCTCATTCTAACAGAGCTCGGGTTTTCACGTTTCATCTTGAAAAGTCAAGGGGATACAGGATCTCTCTGCATTATTTCTCACAACTGTGTGTGAATCTACAATGATCTCCAAATAAAAAAGTAACCGAAGACAAGGCGAGGGGAGAGACGTTTTGAAAGCAGGACTTTGGGGTAGCATTCTGTTGACCAATGCAGCCTTTCAAGGCCAAGGGAGAGACAGAATGATTCGTTTCTTTCCTGTCCCGGGTTGGGTACAGGTGAGCGCGGTATCACCAGTTTCCCTTCAAGGAGTCCCGAAGCGTCTGAAATCGGTTCAGGGCATGATTTCCTCTCTCAATCCAGTCATGTGGAGCTTCACTAACCTCCACTTACAAGTCCAAACACTCGTATTATCATCATCACCAGTAATAGTAAACAGTTCCTTTAATTACTCCAGAAAGCTGACCAGGAAAGAAATCTCTTTTAAAAATATTTTTGAAGTTAAACATGAACGATTGAGTATTTTCATTATTCACCGATTTCTATCTGTTCCCGGACAGCGGCCTTCCTCCCTTGAAGAACCAGGGAGCCAGATGGGCAAGGGCTCAGAGTATGGGGTGTCCAGCCTGTCTTCCCTTACTGGAAATGCCCACCTCTTGGTTACCCTCCCATGCAAAGACAGACACCAGCTATGATGGACTAAATATTTGTGTCCTTCTCAAATACACATGTTCAAACTTTACCCCTCACGCAATGGTGTTAGGAGGTGAGATATTGGGAGGTGATTAGCATTCGACGAGGTCATGAGGGGGCCCCAGAAAGGGATTAGTGCCCTTGAAGAGTCAGGAGAGAGCTTGCTACTCCTCTCTGCTCCTGGACACATGAGGATACACCCTGATCTCAGATTCCCAGAACGCTGGGAAATAAATTTGTTGTTTTAAGCCACCCAGTAGAGGGTACTTTGTTACAAGTAGCCTGATGCCAGCCAACCAGGATCCAAAACATCTCATTCTCTACCCAGTGGTTCTCAACTTTCTGATCTCGGGATCCCTTTATACTCTTTAAAATTATGCAGGACCCCAAGGAGCTTTGGTTTAGCCCTGGCTGGTTTGGCTCAGTGGTTGGAGCGTCGGCATGTGGACCAGAGAGTCCCGGGTTCAGTTCCTGCTGGGGGCATGTACTAAAAAAAAAAGAGCTTTGGCTTATGTGACTTATCTATAGTTTATGTACTGTATAGAAATTAAAATGTTTATTAGTTCATTAAAAATAATAAACCCACTGCATGTTAACATACAACATAATTTTTGTAACTAAAAATCTCCAAACAAATAATTAGTGATAAGAGTAGCATTGTTTCATAGATCCGCTAATCTTTTGAATAGCTTACTTCATAGAAGACTGCTGGATTTTCCTCTTGGCTTCTGCTTTCAGTCTGTTTTGATTCCATATATACGATATATAATATATTATGTAGCCTCTGGAAAACCCTACTGTACATGCGTGGGAGATTGACACAGTATTACTAGGAAAACAGATTTGACCTTGTGGATCCACAGAAAGTGTCGAGGGTCCCTCCACCTCTCAGGTCCCCCGGCTGCACTTTGAGAAGTGCCACCTTAGCCTGAGTCTAAGGTCATTTCCATAGGTGATTTCAATGGTGATGGTGATACTTTCTTGAGGCCCCCGTGATATTCATTACCTTCTGTGTCCCCTCTGTACCTCGACCTATTGTTGTTTATGTGTGTTAACCCCTGCTGGGTTATGAGCCCCTTGGAGGGAGACAAACTTTATTCGCTTTCACATCCTCAGGATCTAACAGTGTCTGGTCTGTAGTAGGCACCAGATACAATTATTTTAAAATGTAAATACATGCTTTAATTATAAAAGCTGTATAGTTATGACTGTATTATTGAAAATAGAGGCAATAAGAAAAACCACTCATAATTTCCCCAATGGGTGTTGTATTTTGTATTCACTTTTTTTTTTTTTTTAGCTCTAGAGTCATACCATATACAATAAATGAATACCATAAATTTGAATACCTTTTTCTCTCCATCTAGCAATAAGTAAGCTTTTCTTTCTGTTTCTGATATCTGCGACTACCATAATGTTTCATTGTGAAGGCATAACACAATTTACGTACTAAATAGCCAACATTAGCATGTTTGGGATGCTTCCTTTTTGTTGTTGTTGTTGTTGTTGTTGTTGTAATAAATACAGTGATCCTGTGAAGAATACCTTCACACATACAGCTTTCTTGGCATTTAGTGTTATTTCCTTAGAATAGATTCCCAGAAGTAAGATTACTGGGTCAAAGGATGCAGACATTTTTTATGGCTTTTAATACATACTGTAAAATTGCTTTTCAAAGGGTTATACTAATTTTCAATGCCACCAGCACTTTCAAGAATGTTTCATAACACAAATTGTCAACATAGGTGCTATTAAGAATGCTAATCGATAAAATATTGTATACTAGTTGTTAAAATCTTGTATTTTTTGAGGCTCGTAAAATTAAAGTTTGTCAAAGAATGAGTGTGTATGTAATACAAAACATTCTTTCGGGACATCTTGATTTCTGGAAAACTCAAGAAAATTTTTTGCTTGTGAAGACTAGAAAAAAAGAACACATGTTAAGATTGGCACAAAATTTACTTTGACAGCCAATCTTGATGCCAAAACACTTCAGCGAGGACCTTTCGCTGATTCCGCTAGTTGTCATCAACAGTAGCAAAGGAAAAAATAAAATGTAGAGGAATGGAATGTTCTCAGTGCAAACCATACAAGATCCACATAGAGGGGTTGGAGCTCTGCTTTTCACTCGACTTCTCTTTAAACTTTGGGATTTCAGCCCTTTCCTTTGTCTCCGGTTTGACCTGCCCACGCGCCCAATTCCTGAATTCTCTGGGAAGGGGCATCTCATCTCTGCCATCTCATCCGGCTTTAGGCTTCTCCGTACAGTGTATGCTGGTCCACTAGGTGTGGACGGGTTTCCAGAAAAGCTGCAGCCGTGTCTGTCCCCCATAGGATGGATCCTAACCTGTTTCTAGGCTCTGTCTCCCCGACTGACACCTGGCTGTTCTCCCCACTTCGCGCGGAGCGTGAGTGAAGGAGACGCCGGCAGATGGGTTTGGAAACGCCACGAATGTGAGCCCAGGGTGGAGGGAAACTTGGCTCGCCTGGCCCTCCGAGCAGGCGCGCCGAGGTCTATCGTCGTTTCTCCAAGATTGTGTTCAGTGGCCTCATCCTGGGACAGGCATTTATGAGTCATCAGCTCTGTGGGTCACATGGCCAACGTGACCAAAATAAAGTTTCAGTATTTTAAGCAGCTAGAAAAGGGGACAACGGAGTACACCACGAGTGAGGAGCGGAAGGCGGGCACTGGCGGCCACAGGCGGGCCGGGCACCCGCGCGTGGGGCCGCGGTGGCGCGGGCCGTGGGGGCGGGGCGCCGGTGAACGGGGAGGAGGGAAAGGGGCGGGTCCTGGCGGGAGGCGCGCCCCTCCCCCCACGGCCGGCAGCGACGCCCGGACTCCCGGGCCGACCGGTTCTGGAGAGCAGCGTCCGGCGGACCTCAGCACCGAGGACCCCCGGCCCCCTGCTGCCCCCCGGCTAAGGCAGGCTGCGAAATCCCGGAGATCCCGCTGCGTCCTCCACTGCTATCGGGACCCCACGCGCCGGCAGCGGCTTCCCCGGGAACGTCCTTCAGCCCCGGGAGCACGCGGGAAAAGCCCCAGCGCGCCAATGAACAAGTGCCTTCCTCATGACGGTCACGCTCAGGGGCGGGGCTTCCCTTCGCCGCTCCCGAGTTCCGGGAACCCCCTTTGATTGGTCTGGACGGCCTGGGAAACACTGTAGTAACGCCCAATCAAAACGCCACGTCTCGGCCTCGAGGAAATATCCCGTGTGGGCCCCTTTGTGATTGGGCAGTTCCTTCGGGCTCTGGCCACTGGAAAGCTTTGTTTAGGTCTGGAAGGCGGGCTTTCCTGAGAGTGGGTGGGGAGGGGGCGTTGGTTCGTAACCAATCCGTTCATTCCGTTGGGTGGTGACCAGCCAATGGGCCGGATGGATAGGACGCTCCTCCCGGAGAGTAGTGAGACCCCTGGTGCGGGGCGATTGGTGGCGGGAGCGATGAGTGGCAGCTGCGTAACCCAACAGGCGTAGTGCGTGGGCTGCGGGGCGGGGCCAGGGCGGGTGCGCGGCGGCGGCGGGGTGGCTGGGCCGGCGGCGGCGGCGGTACGAGGCGCGCGCTCGGGGTCCCGGTCGCGAGGAGGAGGAGGATGTGGCGCGCGGAGGGGAAATGGCTGCCGAAAACAAGCCGGAAGGTAAGAGCCGGAGCGTGAGGGCCGGGGGCGGCGCGGCGGGCGGCGGGACCCGGCCCCGCCGGACATCCCGGGCATCGGCGGCGCCGGGAGGGAGCGCGGGGGCGCGGCGGCGGCGGCGGCGGGCGGCGGGCGCCCCGGCCGGGGAGGGGGCGGTGGGTGGGGGGCGGAGCGCGGCCGGTCCTGAGGTGACTCGCGGGGCGGTGGAGCGCGGCGCCGCACACCCCCACCCGGGGGCGGGCTGGGGCCGGAGGGGCGGGGGGCCGGCGGGCGGGGGCCGGGCCCAGCGAGGAGGAGGAGCCGGCGGAGGGAGGGCCGGCGCCTCCCCCACCCGGACCGGGCATCCCCGCCGCTCCCGGGCCCGTGGCGCGGCCCCCGCCCCTCGCCCCCCGTGCCGGCCTGGTGGGGGCCGCGGGGCGGAAAGTTTATCCGCCTCGGGCCCCCTCCGGCCCCGCGCCCCACTGCCCCGGGTCGGTCCCCGTCGGGGCACGGCCGGCGCTCATCCTCGCCGTCGCTGGCTCTCGGGCGGCAGGGCCAGGCGGACTCTGTCCAGCATCACCCTCGAGCCCCGTGGGCGCCTCCCAGAGCCGGCGGGGTCCCCGCGTTTCTCCCCACCAGGGGGACCCCGTCCTGCTGAGCGTCCCCGGGCAGAAGGGCCTCGTGTGACCCCTCCCCCTTCCCTTCCTGGGAGGGGGCCTGCGCAGCGTCCCCGCCCCTAGCAATGTTTCCTAGCCTACTCTTGCCCTTGCCCCCCTCGCGGCCAGGAGGGTGGGGTCTCCGTTTCTAAGGCAAGTGAGGATCTCCACACTCCCTTGCCCTTTACCTTCTGTGACCCTGATCCTTCTTTGGCAGAGGGGTCCGTCTCCTTCTCTCATCTTCTGTGGAATCTTTTGGGGCCTCTGCACACCATCAGTTGACCCTTTTGCCAGGACAAGGGGACTCGGGCTACCCATGTTCTTCCCTCACCCAGTGGTTAGTGGGGGCCTGTGCAGCGCTGAAGTCATTTCTAAATGGGAAAGCAGATACTTCGTACAGATTATGCATCCTCTCCGCACACTTTCCTGGCTTAGGGTGAGCTCATTTCCTGAATACCCTTTGAGTTGCCCTCTTTTTCTTTCAGGAGAAACTGAACATGCCAGAGCTCCTTCCCCGTTTGTCTGTCTCCCTTAAATGTTACCTCTCAAGTTCCTTGTGTGGGTGAGGGTGGGTGCTCCACTAGATGTAGGGCAGGGCTTCCATTGTGCCTCCTACTGGAGTAAGAAGGGCTCAAGGTAATTACTCCGAGGTTTGAGGAAAACCAGGGTATAATTTGCTTCCAGTTTACTTCCCCCTTAGGTGGGGTCAGCGTTCACCAGTTGACACTACATCAGGAAGAGAGTCATGGCCCCCCCCCTTTTTTTTTGTGGTCTGGTTACAGTCTTCTGTGCAGTAAGAAGCAGACTCTGTACACCTTACACCCAAGAGTCTCCGAACCTTCCCTGGAAATAAACTTCCCATTTCTTTTTTAGGAGAACTCATCCTCCTTATGGCTTCAGTTTCCCAGTCAGCCATATTTAGTGGGCCTGTTACCTTGACTTTTTCTAATTTTCTTAAATTGTATTCATGTTGGCTGGGTAAGAAGCCATATGCCTTTCCACCCAGAAAAGGGAGTGTAGACACCCATGTCGCCCACGTGCCTTTCGGCAAAGGGTTGTTAGTGTGCTCCTTCTACTAGAACCTTCCTTTGGCCCTGGTGTTGTCCCTCGTGGGATCCAAACATTTCTTTTCATCTTGTAGCTTTCAGGTGAAGGGGAAATTTGGACACTTCCCATTTTTTGCTGCTGTGATTCTCTTGTGGCAAAAAGAGATTATCATGATGCTATGCATATGTTTATACATACACATGTAAGATTATATTCATAGATGAAATCATATCCATTATATATATGCAGAGATTTGCAAGGGTTAGATGACTTTCTATACATTTTGGGTGTATGGGGACCTTGATGTGGAAGAATATCTATATTTGTCTATTTGTCTGTATGTGTATATATATGTGTGTATGTGTATGTATATTACTGTTGTCGGTAACTCTTCAGGGTTAGGATAATCAGAAGGCTTATTGATAAATGGCCAGTTCTTACCACTCTTTCATTTGTCATTCATACTGTACTGAATAAGCAGAATGACATCCTGAATATTCACAAAAAGTGTAGAGTGCTTGCCTGTGCTCACCAGAACCTAGGCATTCTGAGTCGAGGGTGGTATTCTCGATCGGGTCTTCACAGGGTTAAAAGTTATCGTCTTCATTTCTTCCCTGCCTTGTAGGGGAGAGAGATTTTCATGTATTTGGGGCAAACGAGAGGAGTGGGTGAGAAGAATATGTGTTTCTGTGACAGAACTAGAAGTGAACGGCCATAAATATGTCGCTGTTTTATTTTGGCCACTTAAACAATTGAGAGAGGTTGTGTACATTAGGAAAAGGTACCTTTGGGAGGGCCTGTGACACTTCATCACAGGGTGGGAGGGACTGTTTGTTCTTCAGGTTTTCCCTGAGTGTCACAGTTTGTGGATTTGGCTGATTGCCCTTGGTGCTGGGGCAGGGGCTGTGATGTGAGTCTCCTCTGGTCCCCTCACTTCCTTCCCTCATGAAAGGAGGAACGGTTGTTAGCTGCTGTCGCTTTTTGACAGGCTGAGTTTGGAGCCTCCCCCTCCCCAGCAAGCTCTGTTGGACTCTGAAGCATTTGGACCTTTAAGCACTTTTCTAGCAAGGACACTCCACCTGGGTTACCAAATAAGGAGACAGGTTTATCTGGAGGACTGGTCCTCTTAGGCAGTCTTGCGGACTTTGCCCTTCAATTAATATTGAGTTATCCAGCGGGCATAATACCCATTACCCCAAAGTAGCACTTTTGACCTCAATTTGCTTCTCTTTTGGTTTTAAAAAAGTTTTTATGGTTTTTGAGTCTGTCTCTATCTATACTCAGCTTGAGGGAATTGAGTATTTTTAGGGTGTAGTATTACCGACCCTTGGAAAACAAGAGGTGACAACCTGCCGTATATGTTGGCGTTTTCCCAATAGAGGCATCACTTCTGGTGGTGGATCCTTGTCTGCTGTCTCCATACCACCGATGCCTTGAGTTTCCCTTGCTAATCGGGTGCCCCATCCAACGGGCAGTGGAAGGAAATGGTAAAGGTCAGAAGAACACACTTGAGTTAGTGTGTAAAGTTAGGCTGTTTCCTTTGCGTTTAATGCAGTCGCGCTGTCACCCATCCCCATGCAGTGTTGCAGATCAGCTTTCCTGCTGTTCCAGTGTGACGTGTTCTCTTGACCTCCATCACTGTCTCCTCCCCTTCTCCCCGGACCCCCAGCTTGTTAGGCAAGGCTGGGTGACCCTTGGAACATCTCTTTCCTTGTCTTCCTGAAGAATTGACTTGTCCTGCCTCTGGGAAATGTTGAGTTTCTCCATCTCACTGTTCAATGAATGCGGGATGTTGACATGGTCACAGCCACCTCTACTCAAGGTCAGATTGGGTCAGACTTTCCTTTCCAGAAGAGGAGGGTTGCTCTTTCAGACATATTTATGTATCCTGCTTATCTGTGTTTTTCCATTTCTTTAGTTTTTAGGCTTTCCCCCTAAAATAGCCTATTTTTTGGGGTCAAGTGGCATTATTTTAGTTCTCTGTTTACGTGGGTAGGACCCATGTGCTGATGGGATTCTGATTCTTTCTGCCTGATTGTGAGGTAGCCCTGACTGTGGTTGCACGTTTCCCCACTCCTGCATGTCTTCGGCCCTTCTGCTTCCCACTTCCTAAGGTTGGGGGAAGACCCGATGTACTTCTTCCTAATTTCCTTGTGGAAGAAACAACAGAAGGCGATTCTCGTGTGCTCTTTCCCTTCATTGTGCCTGTTGCCTTCTTTGGGACCCTTGAATTTGTTGTTTTGGAGGGAAGTTGTTTTCACATCCATATTCCCATCACTGAGTGCATTCATTCCAGAGGCGGTTACTGAGCTTCAGTTACATGAGAAGATCTGGAGGAGGTTATACGACTGCTTGAGACCATAGGGGTCTTGTTAGCCTTTTAATATGAATGGCATTTCAGTGTGTTGTGTGCTTGTTTTTTTATATATACTTGTAAGAAATTCTTTTCTGAATTTTAATTGTTTGGATTATCATCTTACAAAAATATACTGTTAGTGTGCTGTTCCATTGAGTTCCCCCAGCCCTGCAGGACTGGGGTAGTGGAGAGGGTGGAGGGCACACCTGGAGAGGCATTGGACAGCTTTCCCTCAGACTGTGTGTGTGTGTTGTGTGTGTGTAGAAAAAAGTAAAGTCAGTCTTCTTTTTAAACGTCTAGGCATAACTTTCAGGTATTTAGATCTGTGGTTGGCTGGAATGCCTGTTTAACATTTGAACAGCAGCATGTTGGGCATTGTATAGAACATGAAATCCAATTCGTCCTTTACAGAAGGAAGTGGGAGAAAAATGATTTTCTCTCATGATTACCTGGTATGTTTCATATGATCAGATAGTAAGACCTTCATGAGCTGTTACATTTCACTGCCAGGAAGTATTATACCTAAACTCTGCCTCATTGCGGTGACCACTCTTAGGCTAGGTTTCTGGTATAATCCTCATTGCTTTGGTTTATTATGTGACTTTTAACACTTTATACATTTTAATGGTGCTGTTTGTGTCTTCTCTTCTCCTTTTTTTGGGGTAACTAGCCTCAGATTATTTTTGGATGTAGGTATGATATACATAATGATGACAATAGTAGTAAAGAATTGACCTGAAATGTGCCTTTTCTTTTCCTTCTATGTTAAGTCAGATTTCCTTCCACAATATCTGTAGAAACCAATTCTGCTAGTATTTCGCTCTTAAGAAGAACTCTTGTTGAGGATTGTTGTAGTCTGTGGTTGGCTTGGCAGTCCTTTATTCGTGTGAACATGTGGCTGGATATTTTTTGTGGTTACAGACAATATGTGTTTCTTTTGTATTTCCATTAAAACAGATCATTTC